TTTGCGTTAAGATAGACTAAATTAGAGTTCGACAGCAAAATTATACATCGGTGAACTGGTATCTAATATTATCTCCTACTCGACAGTTAGTAAAAATTCATTGTCATAGGATACTTTTAAAGCACAAAATATCTATTAGAAGCATGCACTGCATGAATAAATTTTCTTGACAGATAACGACGATGAACAGACTAAGTGCACAAAAAAATCAAAAATGTATGTTCACAATGATATATTGTTCATATCTCTATAAATGATCAATCTTCTTATTTGATCGAGTAATTACATTCGATTTTATAGGTACCAAGTATGAGTAAAGAGAAAATCATCGAAACTATTGAAATTTCCTTGTAGTGATGAATAGAGGTTGACAAGTTCAGTTCTAGTTCACATTTGAAGAACTCTTGAAAAGATTCTCGGATCCGAACTGATCTGTTCGAAAAACTTTTGTTCTATCTTTAAAAAAACATATTCGAGTTAAAAAAAACGTTTTTTCTGTTGCTGAAATGTTATTTCTGAAATCGAACAAAACTTTTCTGATTTGCTCGAACATTTGTTTTGACAAGATCTTATCTCGTCCTACAGTGTTTTCGCTTATTAGAGTGGAACTTTGATCTGGAAGGTAGTGAATCCCAGTTACAATTTAGCACTTGTTTTTGTTTGTTTTTCGCATAGTAATAAATAATCACTTGTCGATCATTATTTTCATTCTATTGAATTAATACATATTATTAATCTCTGTTTAAAAAAAATGATGACCGTGGATGTTTTTGTAATAATTCAAGAATGGAAAGAGCTACAAAGCTGCAGTTTTCGCTGGTCGAAAGAAGAGATATCGGAATGTTTTTTTCTCCAATATTATATAAGAGGAAAGCATTTTAAAATCAGCCATTTTTACAAAACATCTAAAAAATGTACAAAAATTATCTGTGATTCAGATCAAATGTTGACCAAAAAAATAGGAAAATTTGCTTCAAAATTAAGAGAAACCCACATGTTTTCAGTGAATAAATAGAAAATTTTATTAACTTAACATTAGGATTTTTGTCTTATATAATACAGGAGAAAAAGACATCCCGATATCTTTTCATTCGATTACTGAAAATCGCAGCTCTGTAGCTCTTTTCATTCTTGCGTTATTGCAAAAATACCCACGATCATTATTTTTTAAATAGGTATTAGTAGAATTTATTAGATCTGCTGCATGATGAGTATGGAAAAATCATTCTTTGTAAAATTCTACTGTAACTAGTTTCATTATTTTAATTTTCATAATAATGAAATTAGTCAAAAACAATATCGCGACAAACTCTCAATACTTTTCTTTGATCTATTTACTAGTATAAGCATTTGATACTTTTGTTTTCTGCCACGAAAACTTGCGCTTTTTCTTCATTATTTATTTCTTGTTTAGGGTAAATTTCGTATTCAAGAAATTCCAAGGAATGGAACAAATTCTATATCTTCAATGTCTATTAGTCAAGCTCTTTCAAATTCCCAAATGAAAGCACTCTTAAGATCAAAAAGTAGTTCAAATATGCCAACAAATCAATCAATGCTTCAATTAGATGTTAATAAAAATTCCATAACACTAAAATGTCGATTGTATATAATAAAAGCTCTATTATATCGTAGTTGGGATCCATTAGGGAAAGCAGATCCATTTATAAAAATTGCATTAAACAATGACACTATAATTGATGATGTTGACGGAAAACTTCCTAATACATTAGAACCTGTTTTTGGCAAGTGAGTATTCAACAAAACAAAAAAAAAACGATAATTTGTTTTTATTTTTTATTTAAATAGATCATTTGAATTTGATGTTCACTTACCTTTTCAATCTTTAATTCGTATACAAATATGGGATTGGGATATGACAAGTTTCAATGATATGATTGGTGAAACAAAAATTGATATTGAAAATCGTTGGTTTTCATGTCATAGAGCCACTTGTGGTTTACCAAAAAGATATGATAGGTCTATTAAACAATCTAAATTAATAAATAAACATTCGATTTTTTCTTATATTTAGTGCGGGTTATAATACTTGGCGTGATACAAAAAAACCAACGATAATTTTAACTGAATTATGTCGAACAACAAATATTAATGTACCCGTTTATACAGCAGATTTTCGTTCAGTAACAGTCGGCGATAAAATTTTCGAATGTGATCCTGAATGTGTTGAATTTGTCATGAATACAAAATCATTCATAGATATATTGTATCGAAAGGCTCATCATGAATCAACCGAAGAATATATACGACAAAATACAGCATTGGCTGCTCTACATGCATGGGGAAAAAAAATCAATCAGGTAAAAAAAAAGTATCTTTCGATCTTTTTATTATTCACCTTTATGTAGAAATATGCTTTGGTTGCTGAACATATTGAATGTCGATCAATTTTTAATCCAGAGTTTCCTGGAATTGAACAAGGAAAATTAGAAATGTGGTTAGATTGTTTTCCAATATCACGACCGCCTTCAAGTCCTATGATTGATATAACACCACTTGAACCTACTTCTTATCAATTACGTGTAATTATCTCGAATACAACTGATGTAGAGTTAAATGATGAAAATTTTCTTACGAGAGAGAAAACTTCAGATATTTATGTTAAAGCATGGATGCTAGGAGAAAGAGTTGATGCACAACAAACAGATATTCATTATCGGTTCGTTTTATTCATTAAAATTAACGAAATAAATATATAAATATATTATTTTTTAAAAATAGAACATTAACGGGCGAAGGAAACTTTAATTGGCGATTCCTATTCGATTTCGAGTATTTAGATATAGAAGAAAAAATTGTTTTTGAAGCAAAAGACTCCGTATTTCAAGTTGGCAATACAACAAAAAAGATTCCACCAAGAATTATTATTCGTGTTTATGATGCAGATTTTTTTTCAACTGATGATTTTCTTGGTTTGCTTATTCTTTATTTATCATTGAATAAATTAGAATTCTTCTAGGTGAATGTGTTCTTAATCTGACAAATATACCACTCGGTACTAAGGTACCAAATAAATGTAAAGCTGATATTCTACTTAATCCAAAACATAGAGGAATTAATTTATTTGCTAATAAACGTATTGCTGGTATGAAGATTTAATGTATTATTTTTTCGATTGAATTTTCTTCAATTCTATTTTGAATATTTAGGTTGGTGGCCAATGATTGCTCCATTGAAAGACAATGAAATTCGTGATAAAACTTTATTAGGAGTGAGTCAACACTAAATAAACAAGAAAAGAAAATTGAAATCTTACTTTTTTTTATTTTAAAAGGGAAAACTTGAAGCTGAATTTTCACTTGTTACTGCTGAAGAAGCAGAAAAAAATCCAGTTGGAAAAGCACGTGAAGCACCACAACCGCTTGAAAAACCAAAGTTTGTTTTAATATTTGATTTCATAAAATAAATTCTAATTATTCTAGTCGTCCAAAAACATCATTTCTTTGGTTTACATCACCATGGAAAACATTACGTTATGTTGTGTGGCGTAATTTTAAATGGGCAATTATTCTTGGAGTGCTTACTTTTATTGGTAGTATGTTTCTTTTACTTGCTATTTGGACAATACCCGTTGAAATCGTTAGACAAATAGCAACTAAAATATTTAAAAATAAATAAGTGATATTTTTAATTATTTATTTTCAAAATTATCATATTATATTTTTCATACTATTTTTGTGCATGGTCATTTTTAATTTAAATCTTTCCTTATAAATACTTTGTGTTGTTTTTTAAAATAAATAACAGAGATAAGTTCCAAACATCTTACGTTCATTTGAACGCATTTAATGTTAAAGTGAACTTTTTTAAGAAATGAAACTAATATTAATCAAATTATTTCAATTCAATTCAATTCTTAAAAATTATCAATTTTTTACTCTTGTTTTACAACCTATAATTCTTCTTCAAATACGATTAGTCTTATTTTTTATATCTAAAAATTTTGGTACTTGTTTAAATTTAGAGTCCCTCGTTTCTAGTGCTCCCTTTGCCATATTCATTCTTACTTATTAAAACGTTCTGTCGATATGAATGTTATTAGAGAGCATGTAATAGTGATTTAAATTGTTTTTTATTCTCAAATATTGACTATAAAAAGAAACCCATTAGAATTTTCTTGTTTCCTCGACTGAAGGGAGGATTACATGAAAAGAAATAGTTTGTTTGCTTGCTTGATTGATTGTTTGATTGAGGTCAAAAAAACATCAATACTAAAAGTTGATTAAATCACCAATATGAAGATTCTCAACCTTAAATCGAGGCAACCGAATCCGAATCTGATGTTTATTTTAATTAAATAATTATTAATCTTTGTGAGAAAACTTCACCAAAGGTAATTGAGTATGAGGAATTCGAATTTCATATTTATTTTAATTCATTAATATTAATTATTTCCTCGACTGAAGGGAGGGTCATACGGAATAAGATGCGTTTGAGGGTGTGGGTGTGGGTGTGGGTGTGGGTGTGGGTGCGGGTGTGGGTGTGAGGGTGTGTGTGGTATGTGGGTGTGGATGGGGTGTCGGGGTGTCGCTGTTCTTGTCTCCTACATCCACAACCACACTCAAGTTGACACCCATACTCCAGAATAATGGAGTCAATATTTTGGGGAGTACGGGTTACTCGATTCAATGGCAGATCGTCTCTTAATCGCTTTTGGTGCAGCATAAGTATAATAAATAAATCGATGTGAAACGATCCATCTGTCTTTTTTCCCCCACATCGTATATTTTTTCATTCTCGTTTATTAAAGCTAAAGTTAATAGAGTTAAAAGCAAACGAAAAACAGCAAAATCCATAATAATAATCATTGTGTTAATATTTTCCTTATTTGATTTTGGTAAGTTTTGTTAAAAGTGATTTTTTTGTTTTCAAAAACCTCCATGATAAAAGTTTTTCGAAGAACCTCAGTGCCTGGGAATGTAGAAATTATTGCCATAATCTCATATTTTATGATTTTTGTGTTGTCTTATTTTAGTGAAATGAGCGGAATCAGTAAAGAAAATTATTTAAGTCCAATAATTCCTCCTGATGTAAAAGTGAAAGATATACGCCTAGTGGAAGCAACAAATGAATCGTTAAAGGATATTGGCTATTTGATTACTTCTCCGGATGATGTCACCGTACAAAACGGCAAATTTGATATAGTTCCTTGGCCTACAAAAGGATGGAGGGCACTTGATCCAAACACGGGAAATGAAGCTGGGACAACTGAAGGATCGATGGAGATTTATTGGGAAGAAGATCGTTTATATGGCAAAAACCATGCTATTGCTACTGATTCTAATCACTATTTACTTGGATATGGAAACTTTCCATCGCAATCCGCATCAATATCTAACTCAAATATAAGCGAGCCATCGGATATTTCATCTGTTTTCATTTGGAGTTCCGATTATCATCCTGATGGTGGCCAGTTGTTCTTTCCCACCAATGGTAAACCGTTCATTTCCACTTTGGCTCCAGCTGTGGGTGATGATATTACACCTGATCATATCACTGCTTTTTATGTAAGCGAGGGTTATGGTCTATATATTTATCCAGGTGTATGGCATAATTCTGTTTATATACACCCATCTCTTTCCCCAGTCTCATTATTTGGACGTCAAGGTCGCATCCATGGTCGTATATCTGTTGACTGGGTGAAAGAGTTCAACACTCTTTTACGTGTTCCTCTCATCTTTGAACCTAACAAATAATTGGGTGTGGGTGTGGGTGTGGGCGTGTGGGGATACACTGTAAAAAAAGTAGTAAAATAAATGAAAAAAAATTTCAGACTGTGCAACCAGCACGAATCCTTGGAAGCGTTCTTTAAAACAGCATAAATCCATTTACAAACCCTTTCTGATACGTCCCAACTACCTTTCTGAACCGTTTTTTGAGGGATTCACTAAACTGCTTCCTATTTTCTTAAATCCTTAGAGGATCCGCTACTGGTTGCAAACTCTTGTACCCTTCGGAAGCGTCTACTGCTTTAATTCCAAGCAAATAAAAAAACTGAATTTTTACCGTTTCGGAGATGAAACTATTCAAAAGGTAATTTTTTTAAGAACGCCAATTGTACTGTATACATCTTGAGGGTGCGGGTGTGGGTGCCAACCTTAATTTCATCCACACCCTGGCCCACGTCCTGATTTTACAGTACTAGTTCAATACCGGTATGCAGGAATGTCGCCAGTACTCAACACTTTGTCGTCACTATTACAATACTGGTACAGTATTTATTTTTTAGCAAAATCAAAATGAAGTAGCGTCAATTTCATGTAATCTTACGTCAAACTAATACTAAGTTCATAACCAGAGGGATGCCTGGGTGTGTGTGAGGGTGTGTGGGTGAGGGTGTGTGGGTGTGGGGTGTGAGTGGGTGTGGGTGGGTGTGAGTGTAGGTGGGGTGTGGGTGTGGGCGGGTGTGGGTGTGGGTGGGTGTGGCTGTGGCTGTGAGCGTGTGAGTGTGGTTGTGGGTAGGCGTTGGTTTTTAATTTAAATCACACCCACACTCACACCCACACCCACACCCACACCCACACCCACACCCACACCCACACTCACCCACACACCCACACCCACACCCACACCCACACCCACACCCACACTCACCCACCCCCACATACCCACCCCCACCCCCACACCCACATCCCGCCGTCTTTCCTGTCTCTTCATTTGGA